TCTTCTTTTGATACATTCAAGCGACAGCCCCATCACATCCTTTTGGCGTGGAAATGGTTTGCGGGTGGAGTATTTGTACAAAGAGGCATGACATACTTGGTAGCCTGGCCTCCATTCTTACCAAGGAGCTCTTCATTGGTCAAAGCTTCAGAGGTTAGGGCTTAAAGAAGGCAATGGTTCAACAATCCTTCTTCGACTGTCTGTCTGCAACAAATCTCCAGTCCCCGCTAACTCTTCCGATTTACATTGATTTGAAACTATTTCTAATCGAGTTTCATTTATTTTCGCAGTTTCTTTGTAGGTTTCGCCATGAAAAGAGGTGGATCAAAGGCTGAAATCAAGAAAGCTCATAGCAAGTCCATTAATCATTTTTTTTTCTATTGTTTATACAATGATTGTTTCTCGATCTAGTGTTTTGAAATTTAATTTGACTATAATTGAAATTATGCTTGTGCAGGTAAAGAATGGTGTTTAGGAAGTAGCAACAGGAATAAGCGCCATCGACACATTATGCACTATCATTCTTTATTGGGATAATTGCAGCAATGGTACCAAACATTTCATTAAATATCAAATTTTGTCCAAACCTTTTATTTGTGCCACCAACAGTGTCAAACCTTAGAAAATGTCGCAGATGAAGTCCAAATAGATGGTTTCTGTTAGTTTGACCGTTAGTTGACCAAATAATTGATTTTGACTTATTTTAAAATGTTAAAATAGTAATTTTTTATTTTTTATAATATATAACCAAAATTAGATAATTAAAATTAAAAACCCCTTTCCCCTTTCTTCCTCTCCACCCCCAATGTGCAAATTTGGGAAATCAATCGGAGAAAAATTTATGTGATTAGTCGAGAAATCTGCAGGCGGAAGTGAAAATTCCGGTGAATTGCCAACAGGAAATCTCTAAAAAAGGTGATAAGTGGTTTCTAGTTTCTTCTCTTTCACTAGTATCTTCAAAAGAGTAATGAAATATTTTATCCAATTCAGACAATTGAATTGTGGAAGACTTATATACATGACCGTTATGGCGGTAATTCGAGTATTTGTTTTTTGCTTCACCAAAGATCCCCAAAGCCTTTAGCCTTTTTTTAGCTTTCGTAGCTATGACGGATGAGTAGGTGCTAGACACATTGGCCATCTAATACTGATGGGTTCAATGCCTTCAAAAAAAAGAGAGAAAAAGCGGATAAGATAAAAGTAAGAAATTCTGAGTTTTGATTTTGCAGATTTGGGGTGGGGGTGGGGGTGGGG